AAGAGCAATTGAAAAAGTTGGTAGACGCATAGTTGAAGACTTAGACTACGAATTACTGGTCGCAGTATTCCGAGTTTGTGGAAGGTGAAGACATATATTACTAACTGTAACTAGTGACTGTTAAAGCTGATAATGATTCTGCTGCTGAAGTGAAATCGAAAAAAGTCTACAAACTTTACCTTAACTTACCCGATAAAGTAGCCGCCGTACTGACATGCTATTTGCCGTATCACTTTTTAGTGTATTTATGAATTGTTTTTTATAAGCACACCGATTTTTAATATTTCTGAAGCATGAAAATATTTCTTAGCACAGCCGTCAATATCAATAGCATAAATTACAAACAGCGCGGACAAATTTTTTATGCGTTTTGCACAACTATGCAAGTGTAAAAATGTATATTGACCAAAGGGGGTGTCTGCATATGTACGGGGTGTGTATGTGTATATGTGTATGTGTGTGCGTTCGCACTTTCGTCCCCCATTTTCAACTCGGCAAGCTAGAAAGTTGAGATTTCTGGAGTACTGATGACCGTCTTTTAAGGATTGCTTAGGAATAAGTTGATTTTGGACTTAACTCTCCACATACCAGTATTAAATTCACTACCAAAACGAATCTTATAGTGACTGGTTGTCCTACTAGCAGAATTTGAATCTTCGAATTTCAGCACGACAGTAGTGATATTTGCCAAGTTCACGTTACAGAAAAATTCAAAAAACATATCAAAGAAAAACTTGTATGCTTTCAAAAATTTTGCTAAAAATAAAAATCATTGGTGCGTGGCATTTTTTGAGCCAATAAAAGTGCTAATCAGTCATTCCCGTCATCTATAATGCTTGCAGTTGATGCAAAATGAATTGAGAATGTTTCGAAAAGCAACTACTAATTTTAGACCTAGAACTTTGGTGCCCTATAAGCCAGGTTAAACCTCAAATCAGTTTCTGTCAGACCAAAAATCTCATCCTCTATCAGGTCAAAAACCTCTTTTTCACTGCCAGTTTAAAACCGCTTCTTCCTCTACCACATCAAAACTCCTTCCTTCTCTATTAAGTCGAAAACTCTATTAATTCAAAAACCCCTTCTTCCTACATCAAGCCAACAATCATCGTCAGGTCAAAAATCCCTTCTTTCCTAACTATTTCCTCCGTTAGGCTATGAAGCTAAGCACATTTCATTCTAAATGAAGTAGTATCATTCAACTTAGTGATAGTACACTGTCAAAAGCAGTCCCCCAACTGGCGAAGCTGTCAGTAGCACTCATTCTGAAGGTTCCCATAGAAGCAATCAAGCTGTAGATAGTGCTATTCATTAGCACGCGTCAGTGCTAATTTTTCACGAAATAAGCCAACAGAGTGTTGAAAAAAACTGCGAATTTGTTCACCTGCGAATTTGAGCATTCATTAACTTCACAGTCATATTTAACATGGATATTCATAAGTCGAGATTTATACGAACATTTAACGATGCCGGATCTTACTACGGGTGTTTGAGACAAGCAAACTTTTGCGAAAACAATTCTGAAATAGAGCAAGCCGCGAGGCTGACTACCGGCAATGCAGTTTTGGTCATAGCAAATGGAAAATTTGCTAACAGTATAAATGGAGAACCACGCCACGAAATACAGTTGTTCAAAATATTAGAGTACAAAAATTTTGAGAAGCAAAAATGTTGAAATAAAATTCTGTAAAACCATTAGATGATCTATAATGGCAAAAATTTTATAGCTAATGCGTCATTTTTTCATGAAATACTTCGGAACTCTGATTAGCTGTTATTCCCTCGTAGCGTGTTCCCACGCCATTCATGTATTTGGCAACCTATCTATAATTGTTTTGACTGAATCAAAAATTCAAATCCAGTGAGCAATCTGCTGGCTTCTTGGACATCCCATTCCAGTTTTTTTTTCTTTTCAATTAAAAATTCTGGATGCTGCACCGCACTTTTTTCGCTGCTGTGTGTGGCCTTTTTTTTTATCTTATTAATCAATTCTGCTAAGCACATCAACTAACATTTCTCCTTCATGTGACTATAACGGAAATCACCTCCAGTTAACGCATAACAGAAAAG